CCGGAGGATATTTTTTCCATTGCTCTTCAGAGAGACTGGAAGAAAGAGAGAGAGAGAGAGAGAGAGAAACATCGATGTGAGAGAGACATCAATTGGTTGCCTCGGGGATGCACTCCAACTGGGGCTGGAGATGGAGCCTGCAACTGAAGTATGGGCCCTTGACTGGAATCAAACCCAGGACCCTTCAGTCCGTGGGCCTATGCTCTGACCACTGAGCAAAACCGGCTAGGGTGCAAATTCATTTTTTTGATACCACTTCTTCCTCAAACCCACTAACTATATGATTTTAGAAAAGAAAAAAGCATTTCTTGTAAAAGTATCAAAGGTAAAGGAATATTCAATTTTTATTTATTTATTTAAAAAACTAAACCTTGAGAAAGTACTAATAGTTTTAGGCTGGCAGATTTGTAGACTGGCAAGTGGTTTATAAGATTCTGTGAGGCAGGGTATAGTCGAAGATGACAAAAATGGGAAAATACATATCTTGAAAAGCTTCAGTTAATTACAAGGGAACTTGGTTGTTTGCGTCTATAACTTCATTTCTGACTAGTATCTTTGCTACCCAACTTTTTTTGATAATATCTATTTGTTTGTTACATTTACTAATCCCATTTAAAAAGCTGATGTAGCCCAGCCTGGCATGGCTTAGCGGTTGAGGAGATCGTGGTTCGATTTCGGTCAGGGCACATGCCCAGGTTGTGGGCTCCATCCCCAGTGGGGGACGTGCAGGAGGCAGCTGATCAATGACTCTCTCATCATTGATGTTTTTCTCTCTCTCCCTCCTTCTCTCTGAAATCAGTAAAGATATATTTTTTAAAAAAAATAAAAAGCTGATGTCATGTGGACCTTTGGATAACGATATCAGTGTTACTTATTTAAATTCTGGTGTTTTAAAAGACTGATAACCAATTTGCTCTAGGATATGAGGTTAGTAAGTAAATAGCTCTACAGAAGTGGTGTAACAATGCATTATAAGTAGAATGAAATACTGAATTTATATGGATAAATATAGCAGGTATTAACATGTTCAAAATGTTAGTAATGCCTTGAAGTTGAGGCAGTATTTTTTTAAGCCTTTATGTCGGGCCTTTTGTTAGGTGTTTATTACCACAGTTAAACCTAAGAACCCTGTGAAGTAGTATGGGCATTCCCTCAGTGTTATTAACAATCAACAGTACAGCAAAATGAAATGGAACTGAACAATTGCTGAAAGATGTTCATAAGATGGAACCAATGTATATGCATATTCTGCTTAATATTTTTAATTCATACAATGAAACTGAAACAACGTTCTTTTCTTTTCAGGTTGTATCAGCTTTTGGTAAAGAAGAAGCAGAAAGGAAGTTTGAAACTCTGTTAAATCACTTGTCACACCCTCCATCATTCACAACTGTCAGAGTAAATACACATCTAGCCTCAGTGCAACATGTGAAAAATCTGTTATTTGATGAACTTCAGAAGGTTTGTGTAAGTTTTTTATGTCTTTAGGTGCATAATTACATTTCCACAGTCTATGTCATGGTGCTCCCCACTAAAATCGTATAAATGATTTAATACTATTTTACAAATAAGGAAATTGAGGGTCATGAATGTTAAATTCTTCAAGGTTACAAAGTGAGTGGTAATGCTGGAACTTGAAGCTAGCACTTGTGATTCTGAATTTATTTTTAGTGATTGGATAGGTCTTCAGTTGCTTCATCATTAAAATACATGTGAAGAGGTCCAGTCCAATCCTAGAAGTTTGTGATTTTTTAATAAGCAGCATATAACTTTGAGCTGGGCAGATTATACAGCTGAGGTGAGCCCAGAGGTAGGGAGGTACCTACTGATTACCTGTAGGATTATATTTTTATCTGACATTAAAAACAACAACAACTGATGGAGAAGTACCTTATCTTTAATAAAAGCAGGAAATTAGAATAACATAAAGACTATATTAAATCAACACAAATTATTTTTTGTTCAACCAATAAAATAGTTTAAGCATAATACTCATTTTTTGTACATGAAAACAGTATTCTAAAATGGCATTTTTTATAAGTTTCAAATATAAAAATACTCAAATTTTCTTATTTATATTGTCATAATTTGCTTTCAAAAGCTTGAATTTTCTTATTTATATTGTCATAATTTGCATTTTGTGTTTCATATGCTGTGCATTGAAATTTGCCTCCAAAGAAATGTAAAATGGAGGAAAACATGCCTGAGGTGGATACTTCAAATTGCATTTTGTAGTTATTAAAACTCTTAGAACAATTAACTTGTAGGTGTCAGCAGACCTACTTCTACCTGATTACTATGTAAATTAAAAGCTAGAGGCAAGCAGGATTCAAGGGCTTCCATTTGTATATCACTGTCTGTGTTATCACTTTGGGTATAATATTCAGAAACTTTCAGAAAAGTATTACTGGTATTGCTTCTCTTTGAGAACAATTCTATAAATTTCTCTCTTCTTAAATCCTCACTTGAGGATATGCTTTTTTGTTTGTTTGTTTTTTGTTTTTCCATTGATTCTAGAGCGAGAGGAAGGGACAGGGAGAGAGTAAGAGAGAGAAACATCAATTTGTTGCCTTCCCTATGAGCCCCAACCTGGGATCAAACCTGCAAGCTGGATATGTGCCCTGACCAAGAATCACACCGGAGACCCTTTGGTGCACAGGGCGATGCTCTAACCTCTGAGCCACACTGGCCAGGGCCAAGTCTATAAATTTCAAGTTGAGTAGAAGACTATGTTATAAGAAGAATCAGGTGTGGTATCTGAGTATAAGACTTGGAGAAAAATTAATCTGAGTTTTAATTAGTGATACTTTCATTGAGAGTAATGATGTTAGGCATAAAATATAAGCTGTTCTTTTAAGCAACTAAATTGTTACTTTTATATAAGCATGCATACATGCTTTCAGCCAATAGAAAGGAAACTGTTCTGAGGCCTATCAGAGGTGTCCATAACTGAGGGAGATCCAGATTGATTTCTTTTCTAGCAAGTTATTCCTAGAGCTTGGATATTCTAGTCTCCCAGTTTGAGGGGTATACAGGATCTCATGGGCTAGAATTGAGGATAAGGCAGATAGAATAACTCTGGGGGCTTTGAGTTCCTTTCGTTAAAGGTTAAGACAGAGGAGGTTGGTTCTTAAGCATTAGGTAGGAAACGGGGGGTAGAGCAGGAAAGGGGACTTGGAGGAGGTTTTAGACTATAAATTTTCTTTCTCCTTTCATGTTCCAAAGCTCCCGTGTCACCTAAAGAGATGTCTTGAGTGGGATGATATAAGAGTAGGTGCTTTGTCCCCAAATTCTCTGGGCCACATTCTGAAATATAATAATTTATCATTTCATTTAGCTAGCAAGGATGTGGAGAAACTGGAACTTTCATACTTTGCAAGGGGGAATGTCAAATGGTTTGGCCTCTTTGGAAAACAATTTGGTGGGCTCTTAAAAAGTTACGCGTAGACTTACTGTGCAACTCAAGAGTGGAATGAAAACATATGTCCATGCAAATGCTTGAACACGAATATTCATAGCAGCATTATTCATAGTATCTAAAAGGCAAAAACTGTCCATATGTGTATCAACTGGTAAATAGGAAAACAAAATGTGGTATATTCATACTGTGGAGTACTATTCAGCAGTGAAGGTAATGAACTGATACACGCTTCAACACTGGTGAATCTCAGAAAGATCATATTAAGTGAAAGAAGCCAGACACAAACATTATAATATATATAGTATGTTTTCATCTATATGAAATGTCTAGAAAAGACAAATTTATAGAGAAAGTAGGTTAGTGGTTGCCTGGGGTTGGAGCTAGGAACATGGAATGACTACAAATGGGCATGAGGAACCTTTGTGTGGTGATGGAAATTATCTAAAACTGAATTGGGATGATGGTTGCACAATTCTTTAAGTTTACTAAAAATCATTGAATTGTACATTTAAAATGGGTGCATTTTATAGTATGTAAATTAATCCTCAATAAGGCTGGTTTTAAAAGGGCACAGAGTTGAAACAGACAGAAAAAGAGCAGGTGATATGTATCATTGGTTTAAAAATAAGTTTATTTGGTTGTTTCATGAAAGTGATGCACGTTGTATGGTTTTATGAAAGTTTTATTGCTGTATCATTTTAACATCTGACTGAAAAGAGAATAATCTTGGCTTGAGAAGGATTGATCTCTATATAAAATATTTCTGTAGCGTAAAGCAAATAGTACTTCTAAAACAAAACGAAACAAAATGACATTATCTTTCTTTTTGTAAAGATCAGTTTACCATAGTCTGGATACTGTAAGACCACCAAACAATGAGAAAAGGGAAAGAAAGGGAGAAGTGACTGATCAGATGAGAAGGAGTTTACCCTTCAGATTTCTTATTAGCTATCTGTTAGATATGTTTAGTCTGAAATATCCTTTGCCTGGAGGAGGCAGAAGTTAGGAGAGCTATTGACTTGGTAGAAATCTAGTTGGATTTCTAAAATGTGAACAATTTCTTTCTCTTACCAACTTACTAATAAGTTGATTTTAGAAGTTCTTTTCTAGATAGTGTATGGTTACTGCAGGACAATGCAAGTATATATTATTGTTACTATTCTTTCACGTAGTATGTGAAAATTAATGAGTTAATAATCTTTAGCCTGCATGGCAGAGACTTGTTCTCAAATATTTGTATGTTGCCCTCTGATGGAATATACAGTCCTTGCTATTCATTCCACTATTCTGGTCTGTTTTCTGCTGTGTGGAGTGCCCAGTTATCTTCTGCGTTACAGTGGTGTGCTGGAACATATTCAATAACCCATTTCTGGGAAAAATAACCCATTGTGATATTTTGCTGTTTTAAGTTATGTAAATACTCCCCCTGTGGTCAATTTCAAGTAACCAGCGTGACCATGGAGTTGGGAAGAGATGCACATAATTGGTTGTGATGAGATTGTATGAGTTGGCTTCAGCACCTGTACCACTGGCCCTGAACCTATTTCCAGTCTGATGGCCAAGTATGATAGAGGATACCAAAAGTCCTGAACCTTTACCAAAAAACATTTATTTCTCTCACCAAAATTGACATGGCAAAATGATAATGACTTCTTTTTTAAAGTAAATCACTTAAGGTAAACATGGGTTTTGTTTATAACACCAAACAGTGAGCAAAATTTAGCCTTATAAAGAAATCAGGACAGCATAGGGAATATAGTCAGTAATATTATAATAACTATGTATGGTGCCAGGTGGGTACTTACTGGGGGAATCACTTCATAAATTATGTAATTGTCTAACCACTATGCTGTACACCTGATACAAATATATTCTTGAATGTTAACTGTAATTGAAAAAAAAGAAGTCAGGATACTTCAGAATCAAATTAGAGAGAACACATAGTTTGAAGTTATATAAATACTCCCGCTGTTTTGAAGTCTTTGATTTTTATAGTATCCCATGGAATATCATGAAAATATCTCTAACCAGGCTGAAGCTCTGTTTAGGTAACAATACTGAAAAGCTCCATAAATTGAAATTTATCAAATATATTGATTGCTTTATAATTCTGTGTATTTACTTTTAACAGCAGTTTAATGGATTAAGTGTTCCTATTCTTCAACATCCAGACCTTCAGGATGTCTTACTTATTCCTGTCATTGGACCTAGGTTTGTAACTCTTTCATTTTCAAATTATATTCTTTTAAGTAAAAATTTATCACAGGTTCTTTATGTACTGTTTGGTGATAATACTGAGTGTCTCCATTAATAGTAACTATATAGATAGGAATTCACAAATTTGTAAATGCTGACGTCATACTCTGATATGGAAAATATTACATAGAAGACTAGAAATAGGCCCAAATACCTCAAGAATAATGCATTTTACATCCATTTGGTGTAGTGATTGACATTTTTTTCTTTCTACTTTCTAAGTAACTTCCATTTGTTTACTTGTATATCTTAGGAGATTGCACTGCTAAATTAAAACATTTTTTGAGCTATAGCAAAAATACAAAACAACATATTTCCTACTTTCATAGCTGATATGTTTATAAAATTTTATTCATTAGTTCACAATTATGTTAAATTACTTTGTATATTCTCTGAGTAGAACGGGCATTGTTCTACTTATTTATGTATTTGGATGGCATGTTTGAAAATTGAAAAAACAGACTTTCATATTATAATGGGAGATCTTTTCCCAAGGAGTATTTTAAAATTCCTAATTATGGTGTAATTTTTTTATACCTTTAAGAATTATAATAAATATAGAAATACTTATTTTTTTTAAAGCTTTAAAAGTAATTTAGTGGTCAACAGTAAAGCGATGGTTTAATAAATCAGGTTTATCCATGCAGTGGCATATTATATGGTCTTTAATGTGGGGTTGCTATGAATAGTTACATTTCCTTTGCAGTTAAGGAAAGATGCACACAACTACACATTTATGTACATTCATTTATATATAGAAAAAATCTGGAGAGTATAACATCCACAACTATTAATAGGGGTTAACTCTTGAGCAGTTAACTATGAGGAGGTTGGATTGGGAGAAATGGAGTAAGAAGAGATTTTCACTTGTAACATTTCTGTTTTATTTTTTAATATCAGCATGTATTACTTTTGCCATCTAAAATGGATTTTGTAAGTTCCTTATTCTGTGTATTTTAAGGTGAAAATCGCATGCAGTGAAATGGAGAGATCTTAATTAAGTGTACCGTTTCCTAAGTTTTGCCAAATGTAAACAGTTGTGTAGCCAATATCCTCCCCAAACAAGATATAGACTATTTCCATCGCCCCAGAAAATCCCCTCACTTTCTGCTTCTCTACCAGGAAACCACTGTTACTATTTCTATTTAGTTTTAAATCAATCAGTTACTTAAAAATAACAGGTCTTTTAAGGTTATGCTTCCTGATTCATTTAAGAGTATATTGTGGACATCTTTCCATGATGTCCATAATTCTCCCTGATTCCTATAATGCTACTTTATTCTTTTCAATAGCTATATAAACGGTATATGTTATCATTGAGCTCAATTTTAGTTTTTTAGCCCTTAAGATACTTAATTTAAAAAAAATATATATATATATTTTTTAAATCCTCACCTGAGGTCATGCTTATTGAGTCTAGAGAGGAGGGAGGGGGAGAGAGAGAGAGAGAGAGAGAGAGAGAGAGAGAGAGAGAGAGAGAGAGAGAAAAAACCATCGATGTGAGAGAGAACATCCATCGATCGGCTGCCCTCCATACTTGCCCCAACCAGGGATGAAACCTGCCACCTAGGTATGTGCCCTGACTGGAAATCGATGTTGCAACCTTCTGGTATTTGGGACGATGCTCTGACCAACTGAGCCACACGGTCCAGGGCTGAATATTCTTAAGATACTTCTTTGTGGACTTACATCAGCATGCCTACAGGATAAATTAGTACAACATGGAATCACTTGTTCAGTGGCCTGTGTATATGTTAGTATGAGACATAGTGCCTCTAAAAAGTTTTACCAGTTAATGTCTCTAACAGTATTTGAAAGATTCTGATGCTTCCTTCTTGCTAATAGTGGCCATTTTAGTTCTTTCAAAATATTTTGATGATTTAACTTTAATTATTTTCTATATTTACTGCTTTTACCTGACTCTAATAATCCTTTCATCCTATTCTTTATAGTGACCTAGGCTACTTGTCAGAACATTAGTGAACTATAAAATACAAATGGTGAGTTACTACAGGAAAGTATTCAAAAATCATTTAGGATTGTAGATCCTCATATGTACCTTGCATTTCTAAAAGGAGCAAGTCAATTATTTTTTGTTTTTTAAACTCATCATCACTTATTATCTCTTGGCTTTCCACTATGGAAAGTGAGGATGTTCTTACATGTAAATTTCCCCTAAAATTCCCACCAGACAATTTTTATTTACTATGTTAGTTTTTTTAACACTGTAAAGGTTTATCACAGTTTCTATAAGCACGGTTCAAAAGGATTCAATGCTTACTTCTGGCCCTAATGGCATAGTTTATTTCTGAGTTCTTTGTATTGATTGATCTCTTTGTTGGTGAACATAGTCGTTTATCAGATCTGCAGCACATACTTCCATCTCCAAAATATGTCTTTCACATGCTCTGTTTACTTTCTTGGTTGAGAATTGCCTGTTGCCTTTATATTTAAACAACAACTTGGCTAATTATAGTAGTTTCAGGTCACATGTTATTTCCCTTTGCACTTTGTAGACATTACTTTTACAACCTTATGGCATTGAGTGTAGCCATGAAGAAATCTGAGACCAAAAAAAGAATTATCCCCCTTATAACAGTATCTTGGTTTTTGCTTAGAGATCTATGAGATTCTTTCTCATTGAAAATTAGAAACTTGGCTAGGATGTAGTTTGATTTTTACTATTCTCTCTTAGTTTTTAATGAAACATAGTGTAACTGTTTAGTTACAAATCTTCCAGTAGTTCCTTGAATATTTTTCTGTTATATTTTCCTCTATTCTCTGTTATTAAAACAGTGGGACTCTGTATGTTTTCCAGTGCAGATATTCCTTGTGTTGGGGCACCTCAAGACAACCCTCAGGTTTTGTGATTGACTAGAAGGACTCACAGGACTCAGCATATAGTCATGCTCATGGTGAAGGTTTATTACACAAAAGGTACAAAAGCAAAATTAGCAAAAGGAAAAAGGTGCATGGGGCAAAGTCTAGAGGAAGCCAGGCTCACACTTCTGAGGTTACCATGATGTTCCTAATTTCTCCAGCACCCAATTGTGATGTGTAAAATGCTTGTCTAGTAGGGAAGCACATTAGAGTCTCAGTGCCCAAGGTTTTTATTGGGTGTTGGTCATGCAGTCAACCTCTTCCTAGCATGTACCAAAATCCCAGGCTCCCGAAAAGAAAGCAGGTGTTCACAATAAACTGCCTTGCTTTGTATAAATAGGTTAGGGACAGTACACCATTCTAACCATTAGGGAAAGTTTTATATTAGTGTCAGGAACTGTATGCCAGTCAAGTTTCCCGATGGCCAACCAAGGGCCAACCTTGTAGGCAGGCCTTTCTAAGAATAGCAGTATCAAGCCTGTTGTGTTATCTCTTATTTCAGAGGATATACTATCCTATATTTCCTGAGCTCTGCAAGTTGATTTTTCTTTTTCTATATTTTTTATCTTGTTCTTATATCCCTTTTTTGAGGATTTTCCTTTCAGCATCTTTGAAAATATAGAGAATTTTTGAAAATTTCCCCTTTTTGGTTGTACATTTTTTAAAATCTGCCTTTCACTTAATTATGGCTTTGCTTTTCTTGTACTAGCTGTGCATAGGCCTTATGTTAAATGAATCCTTTCTGCTTCTGTTTCATTAAATGGAAACAGTTAAATTCACATAGATGCACTTAGTTTGCAGTTTGCTCAAGGATGATACTGAATGGGATGAAGCTTGTGCCTAGACAACTGATCAGATGTGTTTTTCAGAAATACTTGCACCACATCCTCACTAGTGACACATCTCTAGCCTTGGTGAGCAGAGCTCATAAAGACTGAGGCACTCTGAAGGCTTTCCACTTTCAGCTTTTTTATTTTGGACTTAAGTTTCGTGTGTGCTTCATTGACTTGGGTGAGGAGCAGCAAAGTTGGTTGCTATTTCCCTTTTCCTCCTTTAGCTACTTCTAGGCAGTTTAACCAAGTTTGTTAGAAAATACATTGTCTGCTGTGCCCATTTTGCCTGACAGGTCAGTTTCTCTTTCAGCTTTATCTGCTGTGAACAATTACTGACAAGGCATTCTCAGAGTCTCCTTTTTTCTATGGGAACCTCTAGTCCTGGTTCTAAGTAATAAATATGTGATTAGGCCCCAGGAGCCTTTTCTTGTTAGAAACAGAAGCATTTATACCCTGTTGGGGAACTAGAGTTGATCCAGATTTTACTGTGTCAGGAAATTCTTCATCATCATTGGGATTATAGCTGCTTTTTTTTTTTTTTTTAATGTCTTTATTGATTTCTGAGAGAGGAAGGGAGAGGGAGAGAGAAATAGAAACATCAATGATGAGAGAGTCATTGATCGGCTGCCTCCTGTATGCCCCCTACTGGGGATCAAGCCCAAAACCTCGACATGTGCCCTGACCAGGAANAAGCCCGAAACCTCGACATGTGCCCTGACCAGGAATCTAACCCCGATCGCCTGGATCCTAGGTCAACGCTCAACCGCTGAGCCACGCCAGTTGGGCAGGATTATAGCGTTTTCTTAGTTTTATTGCAAATGGAATTTTCTTCTCAGGTGTGTGTGTGTGTGTGTGTGTGTGTGTGTGTNGCAAATGGAATTTTCTTCTCAGATGTGTGTGTGTGTGTGTGTGTGTGTGTGTGTGTGTTTCCCTCCATTTCTATGGGCTTCAGAAAAAATGCATTCTCACTCTTTTACTAGAAGCTCAATATCACACAGTTGTTTAAAATATCAAAATATGGGTTAAACTTTATAGACAGTGAACAATTTTAAAAGTAATTTTTCACCATAAGTTTAGGTTCCCTCAGTTTATTTGACATGATATTAAATATACTGATTAAATATATTTTCATGTTGGGAAGGTTTTGTCATTAGTAATTTAATGAGACTGAACATATGGTTGTAAAGCAGAATATGCTGTTGTTAATATCAACTTTATTAAAAAACTTAAAGAGAAAGTTGA